GCACCCCCCTCACTGCTGCCACTCTGCGGGCAGCCGCAACTCCCCTCCCATACACACACACTCCTTGTGCGGCAGCCAACCCTCTACCCACTCCACATTATCTGGAAAGCCCTGCCAGGGGGTTTCAGATAACCAGAATTTTTACACAACCAGCAATCCCCTTATCCCAGGGATGCTGGATAATAGAGATTTTACTGTAATATGATTTATGGTCAGGTGTCCTTTTCCTTTTGTTTTCAAAAATTACTTCCCGTTCTCCATAAGTCCTGAAATATCTTTCTTTTGCTATCTACAACAGTCCTGCAAGCATCCAAAAGAAACATTTTTATACTATGTTGAGATGTTTGGCAGGGAGCTTTGCTTAAAAGAAACAAAATTAACAAAAGAATACCACTTTGGCCAGAATCTAATGATAAATCATTGCCCAGGAACATGCACCTGAAAGAGATGGATGTTTTTGTCTCCAGAAAAATACATACACCCTTTTGCCCATCCCAGCCTCCTTTCAGCACAGACAAGCGGGAGAGGAGTTCTGTGGCACAGGCAGGTCTTAAGAGGATATGGTGTGTATTCCTGCTACCTGTCACTGAAAGGAAGGGGCATTAAAGAGAAGGGCGGAAGAAACTCTTAGCAATAATTGATTCCTTGTGTGCTTTCGGGAAAGAGAGTTCTGCTTACAGAGTTTTTAAAAATCTGAGACTGGAAAGGAAAAAAGCTTATTGAATTGAAGACAATTATGGTTTTGCAGATCTATTTTTTTAAAAGGTAACCATTTAGCTTCAGCTACTGGTAGCCATAATAGAATCCACTCTGCTTTGTTTATATATAAGCAGTGGGAGCTCAGGGTGATAGTTATCCTTGCTCCCCTGAAGCAGTCAGAGGCAGACTGTGCCACAGGGGTTTCATATTGCAATTCTAAAAAGGGTCCTGGGAGAGAAAGGGTTATGTACTTCATTAGCAGACAAACACTGACATCAGGTGTGCAGATGTTCTTTTCCTTCTCAGCAGGTTAAGTAAAATCTGATGGATGTTGCTAACAAACAGAGGAAAGCAACAGCAACAAAAGAAAAAAAGCAAAATTAATGTATTAGAACGTCTCTAAGTCAATGATCAATGTTTATTCAGTCAGGTATTATAAAAAGTTCTCTGTATGTTTCCAGGTACAGAAGAAGGAAAAGAAAAGCCTAAATTGGACTGAGCATGAAATACTCACAGGCAGAGATTGCTTGTTATTCCATGGAAGATTTCTTAACACCAACAGAGGTTGGCCGGGAGAAGAATCTTTTGGCAAGCTGTTTATATGGACCCTGTACTCGGGGCAAGGATCACTCTCTTTTTATATAGGTAGAAAGTACTTTTAGCTAATAACAGTAACCATGTTTTAATCCCCCTTTTTCCTATACTTGCATATGCTGTGTATTCTAAGATCTATATTATCTCCAAAATGTTTTCAACATGTATTACAACTTAGATCAATGTAAATACCTTTTAATTTATTATGAGAAGAATGAGTCAATTGTTTGTATTGCTTAGAAAGAAGTCAAGCAGATTGGCCTGATTTGGGTAAATATGATAATCCTTTATATTTCCAAAGTGCACTCTAAAGCTTTCTTAAAAGATAGCACATAAATTTACCTGAAGGAAGTATCCAATCAAACTTTGTTATCTAATGTAACTGTATATAGTGGGTAGGCAATTCAATTAATCAATTCAAGTTATATCAATTAATTGCAATTAAAGACTATCTGTAAATGATGGAACTTTTGTTAAATACAAGAACACATAAATAAAGATCAAAGTATCCCCAGGATTCTGTTTCTGGGTACTGCTTTAGAGAAGATGTGTTGATTGTGTGTATATATTCAATTTCTAGTTTTTGTGAGTTGAGCTGTCAATGACAGCATTATTTCCATTCTATGGTTTTGGGGGTTTTTTTTTCTGTGACTTTGACTATAAAAGTAGCTGTATCATGTAAGCAATATCATGTACAAAAGGGTTGAAAAAGACCTGACCCTGGGACCTTCATTCATAACGGTTAACATTGTACCAAAGATAAAACTCTCAGGCCCCAACTCAAGAAAGCCCTTAATATGGGTGGATCTACGATTTTGAAAAGGGGGATGGGCACACATGGTATGCATCATCACATACAACAGAACACCTTTTCTTCTCCAGTTAAAAAGAAACTAAACTCTTTACTAATGTGGTAGGAGGTTAGCAATATATTATTCAGTTTAAGATCAAAGCAAAATATATGTAACTATTGAAATGTTTGCTAGAGGAGGGGTGCTCAACCTCCGACTCCTGGGCCACAGAAGTGAAGGTGGCCCCAGGCCCAGTCCAGCCCCTCTGGCCAGCAGGTGTCGCACAGCAGGGGCTGTGCCCCCCACCAGTGCCATGGGATGGGCTGGGGATGGTGCTAGCTTTGGGTGGAGAGCTTTCCCCCTTCAGGGCTGAGCTATGCCCCTTTCACCCTCCTGAGCAGGTCACATCCTTCCCCTTCCCCTCCCCCTCCTCCCACACCCCCATGTGGCCTCCTTCCCACACTTGTGGGGCCGGGCTCAGTCTGGGCTGCCTCCTTACAGTCTCCATGTGGCCAGATAGTGCCCACTGCACCAGCCCCAGGTGCCGGATCAGAACGACCATCCAGCCCACTAGGGAAAAAGGTTGAGCACCACTGTGGTAGAGTATATATGCAGTTGTAAAAAACACAATAAACTAGGCAATAAATTCAAAGGATATTATATTATTAGTTCACTAGATTCATCAGACAAACTCTACCCTTCTTGGGTGTCTTGGCAGTGCCTCCAATATTTTAATGTCAGTCATTTCTACACCTGAATTAATATTACCACACACCTAAGTTAAGGTTTTTAGCTAGAGGTTAAAGCAGTCTGCAGGGCTGTAAAATAGGAGGGAGACATTACCAGGACGAGCTAGCAAAAGAGAGAATGGTTTGAATAGTGAACAATCAAGACCATTTAAAAAGGAGAGAGGGTCGTTAACACCTGTGGAGTGTAGAAAAATTAATGGGAATTAGGGAGATGATAATAACCCATGAAGTCAATTGACTTTCTCAGCACTATCAGAATAGAAATGTCGCTGCCCCTCCTGTGTACTTGGTTTTTGCTTGGGTGGAGTAGGAGTCAGAGTGGGGTGCAACTGCACCCACCCTCTTCATCCTTATCCTCTGCTAGCTCTTCAGCAGACACAAAGTTAAGCACATGCTAAGGTGTATTCAAGTGTTGACTGCTGCCTAGTAAAGTGAGATTTACTGAATTCTATTTGATTTTCTGATAATTAAAAGGGAAATGTCACTGCTGTGGAAAGCAGCAGGAATTTAAAAAAATAAAGTCAACAGAATTATTATTAATAATAAGACCTTCTTATGAAAAAGTAATTTAACAAGCACACATGCCTGGATGTTCAGCTCACATATACTTTACACCTATACTAAACTTTACATATATACAAATATGTTTTTATAAAGCATTTTGCACATGCAATGTTACACTTGTTATTTTAATTAAAGGGACATTGTCTAGGTTTGATTTAGCTTAATAGTGGCCTTCCTCTAGCACTAGAAGTTTGCTTGTGTAAATTGTGGCTTTAACTGCAAAACCTACTGTGCTGTTTTCAGGGTGATTTACTGTCAATGAATTGGTAGCTGTACATCCTAATATGACAGTTGGGGGTGGTGATTGTTGGTGTTTTCTAATAAAGATTTTGGGATACCACTGTTTGGTTGCTTGCTTTTTAAAATAACAATGATTGATTTAAAATGGAGTCAACTTTTGCAATCCAGATGGGTCCCATGTAGCATACCAATCTGTAGTAAAAGAGCAGAGGACAACATTTGATTCTCAAAACTTTGATAAGTGTTCTTTTGGAAAAACTTCAACAGCAAAATCTCCAACAGTGCTCTTAAATTGACACTTTTGTACCTAAAGAATATGGGCAGTACAGTTATTAATGAATGAACGCTCCATAGCAACTGGTAATGTTAAATTCCATTGCAGCTACCATATCATCATAGGTGGGTTGATAGCTCCTTCACAACAGTGTGGATCTTAGGAAAAGGCAGGGAGCCTCCTTGCTCTCATTAGGCCTTTATTGTAACAACTGTCTGAGCCCCCAAGCTCTGGAATGGCCTGCCGCCGGAGGTGGTTCAAGCACCTACTTTGAACGCCTTCAAGAGTTTTTCTTGCTGGGATCCTATGACCCCAGCTGACTTCCTGCCCCTGGGGCAGGGGGCTGGAGTTGATGATCTTCCGAGGTCCCTTCCAGCCCCAGTGTCTATGAAATCTATGAACTAACTGCTGACCCAAAATGGTTGGCCCATCACTACCTATGAAAGACATCACTCTTTAGTAAGGGAGTTAACTCTTACTACTACAAATGGCAGATCCAGGGGTGAGGGTTAAATCAATGCAGCTGTACCCCCATTTGGATGTGCTTACATGCACAGTAAGCTCTGACCTCACCAGCTGATTGGTGTGAGCTCTGGTCAAAGTCACCACTTTTGCAGGGCTCCAGAGCCCAGGGGGTGAGTGCTGTCATTGTTTGTCCTTCCGCCTTCTCCCCCCTCACCCCATCCCCTTCCCACTGAATTCAGCATCAGGGGAAAAGGGGGGATGAGCAGCAGTGGCACTCACCCTCTGGGCTCTGAAGCCACAGCAAAAATGGGGGCTCCAGAGAGAGCCTGCATGGACCTGCTGGCAAGCTCATAATCCTCACTACCCATAGGGAAGTCTGGCAGGAGCCCACACTGATGGGCTCAAAGCTTCCTATGCATGTATGAAACAGCCAAAGGGGGTGTGATGCCCCCCCCCCCCCGCTACACCTGGATCCACTGCTGCTCTAGGTTTTCTAATACTCTCCATTGTAACAGATTTTTTTCAGCTGTTACTGAAGATAGTGTGATGCTCTTGTTTTATGATGCAGACCTTTGAAATTCAACACTGACAAACTCCATCCAGGTTCAGCTTAGCTATAGACTATTAAAAATCTCCATTTTGCAGCAAATATTGTACTGAAAGTGTGTTATTAAGTGTGGTTTAGGTTGGGGAGACCAAGTAAAACTATTCTGATAGTTGCGTCCAAGTGCTGTTATTAGGGAGAACCTGCATAACTCATTCTTCACTTCTCGGTGTCTGCTTTCTTCATCTGTATCTCATATTGATTGTTTCCTTCCCAAAACACTGGCTATTGGTCTGGCTCCTTGTGATTCATAGGTGTTAAATAAAAGTAAGAAATGGTGAAATATTGTTCAGCAATTCACATTTTGCTAGAACATATTCTGACTGCAGCTGATATACCTTTATTATACTGCTCAATTACTAATGCCTCCTTCCAGAAGCACATTACTGATACAAAGGTTTCTCCTTGGGCGCGTCCAGACGAGTGTGCATGTGCCTCTTGCAGCGTCTCAAACCCCTTTGAGATGCTGCAAGAGGCACACGCGGGAACAAAAAATGCAAAATTAGACCCCTGGATATCCAGAGGTCAAACAATACCCCAGAGGAAAAAGTGGGGCAGGGCATGATCCAGGACCATGCCCTGAGGCAACCAGAGGCGCAGTCCTCCACAGAGATGCTCTGGTAGGCGGCCAGAGCATCTGTGTGTTTGTCCCTTTCCCCAGTGCTGAAGCACGCTGCCTGCCAGTGTGGGGCAGGCAGTGGTGCAAGCTGCAGGGACCTGGCTTGCCAAGTAAGTAGGGGATTGGGGGGCTGGAGGAGGGGACCATGGGGGAGGCCCCACCCAGCCCTAGCCCCAGCCCCTGTTCATTTCCCCAACTTCCCATTCATTCCCCCCTCCCCTGTTTGTTCCCCCCTCCCCCGTTTATTCCCCCAGCTGCCCACTTGCTCTCCCAGCCCCACCCCCCAACTCACTGGCAGTAGCAGCAGCCTCCAAGGCTGGAGATGAGCAAAGGAATGAGCAGGAGGCTGGAGACAGCAGGGGAATGTCTCCAATTCATCTCCAGAGGCTTGTCTCCAGCCTTCTGCTCATTCCCCTGCTCTTCTCCAGCCTCCTGCTTGTTCTCCTTCTCATCTCTAGCCTGCTCCCAGGTTCTAGCTCCCCTTGGATGCAGATCTGGGAGGAGCCAGGCAGGGTTATTTTGCCCAAGTGGCACAATTGGCTCCGCAATGATGTGCATGTCCAGGCACTGAGGCAAAAAGCCCTGGCTCATATTTGCACCGCTTCTATCTGAGCTGCTGCAAGTGCACATGTTTGCATGTGTGGATGTGCCTGGTGAGTGTTGCTACTGCCCAGGTCATTTTTTTCCTTCTTGTACTACACCCCATTTGGCAGTCTTGGAAATGCAGTGATGATGCATAGGAATCAAAGGTATCAGACAAGGTAGGTACAAAATTCAAAGTTAGGCATTTAAATGAAAGCAGGCTTATTTGCAAAGATACTAAGTACATGCAAGTGGAGTTGCCTTTTTCTGGGTCTGTGAATGCTCATCCCACCTCATAGGCAATTTGGATTTAGATTTGTCAAATATGGATTTAGGCATATGTTTGGAAATTTTAGCAAGTGGCAATGCATGCAGTGGAAATTGGTTTGGTATGAAACATTCATAGTACACTGGTAGGGCTAAAACTTAGTTTATCCTCAAGCTCCCAGAATAATTATGCATCACCTGTGCGCTTTGGATCACAGTCACAAAAGAAAAGAAATACTAGACCATGTATCCAGTGCAAAAATCAATGTTGTAAATATATACATGGCTAAATTAGCAAATGGAGAACACAGCTGTGAGCAATATTATTTCTCTTAAGAATTACATGATCCATACCTCTGGTAGAAGAAGTGTGGTGGATCAATAGTAATG